TTAAAATGTTCAGACTTAAAACAATAGATACGAAGGAACCCACAACCGTAAACACATCCAAACTTCAATATAATTTTCCAAATATAGATTTATTTTCAAATTTTGAGAATTTAATATATAAAACTTGATATACGAAAAAAATTAAAGAACAAGATATAGAGAGGTGGGACAAGCACACCTGTGTTCCAATCACTTAACTAAAATACATTAGGGTGCTTTCGATTGCACGACGACGGTAAGACGTAGAACGTTATGACGTCACTAATTCATCTGCGCATGCGAGAATGCTAAGGCCACCTCGTCGAGTAGATTCTGGAACGCAATTTGGCCAAATCTACGTATGCAGAGAACGTAGGACGCCAGGTAGGACGGTCACGCATGAGTGATTCCATTCTAGCGTCGCACAGATCGAAAGCTCCCTATAGAATGAATGTTTAACTTATACCACTGATATACGGGAATAGAATACAATTGAAAATCCGTTATACATGTCGGATCAATATGAATGCAAAGTACTATTAAAACACTGCAGTTGGATTAACGGATATATCGAGTACCGTACAGCATGGTTACCTGAAAACTACGCCACAGTGTTTTCAGTGCAATCGTACTGTGTAGCAGTCTCCGACGGAATCGGGAAGGCTCCCAGATTCGACCGACCAATCAGCATCACCGAAAGGTCGCCGATAGCGTGTAGCGATTGTATGGAAACCAGTGTACCACTTTGAAAAAGACATGAAAATGAAAAGTTTATTTTTTAAGACAAAAATGTTATGTTCATTAAATTAATTATGGCTCGTGTAGATTTACACTTGGCTACGCACAATATTTCAACCAATCAGAGGGTGAGCTTTTAGAATGTTTACATTTAACAGCATTTTTTTTTTGTGCTAAGCAACATGAACTTTTGGAATCAGTATTGATTCTCAGTTACTTTAAGATTTAAAATTACAACAAAAATAATAAATTATTCAACATAAAATAAATTAAACTCTGTTTTATGGTCAATCAAGTACTGTGCTGGTGTTTATTTACAATTAAAACATCAATTACATTAATGCACTTGCTAATTTCTTTTAAATAAAATAGTCTTTAGAATATTATATATATATATATATATATATATATATTGTTAAATGGTTAATGTAAGAATTTATGACGTAAAATAATATTTAATATATAATTATAAATTAAGTGACATTCACTAATTTTTATAATGTTGATGAAATATTAATAGTTCTAATATTATGAAGTAAGTTCACAAAATTAAAGCTGTATCACAAATAAGAGAAATCACAATAATTTTAAACTAATAAAGAAAAATATCGCATTACATATTGAATTTAGTTACAGTAATTCCATTTGTATTTAAGGTGATAACAGCCATACCACCATAATTTCAAGAACGAATATTGAACGTGAGCTGATTCATCCATCGTATATATTTATGAAACTGACAGTACCGTACTGCCAAGCCCTTATCCTAATCCAACTACTACTATGACCCAGAATGCTGCAGGTTTCTGACTAGTATTCCATAGACCTAATGTTAATGTTGCTCCATTTAAAGCAGCTACCAGCTACCCCTAATCGTGGGCGGAGAAAGACATACACGTAGTGCATTACGCGAGTACACACTTGACTGGTGGTTGTCAGACGATGTGTTCCGTGCATGCACAAACGGATCATTTTTGATTACAGTCTGCCATCGACAATCAGCAGACGACATTGCATCGTCATGTAGTCGCAGAGAGTGGAGATGGTTTCGCCGGCCGCATCGTACGATGCAATGTGCGCCCGGCTTCACTAAAGTACACAAATAAGTGTCTAACCTGAGAATTGAACCATTGTTCTTTTCATTGAAAGCCATAAGCCTCATTCTTCTATAATATCTTATATACATTACTCTAATACCGATAATAAACATGAAGATACACATGTTAAGCATGCTTCCAATGTAATGTACATTAATTAAACCTTAACAATGAAATACAACTTATGTAAGCATACCTCAAAAAGCCAATATAATGTAGCTAAACAGTGAATATGATGAATTAAATAAGAACAGTAATTTAAGAAAGTGAAAAAAATCAAATTAACAGTGAAAAAAAAACAAAAAAAAAAACAGGTTAATATCAGAAAAATAAAATAAAGTAAATAATTGTAAATAAATGGCAAACAAAGTACTACAGTCATGAAAAATGTAATGTTACAAGACTGTGATGTATTATATTTCATCACTGAAAAATGTATATACAAGTGAAACATCTGATGAAATAATCCCTTCATATTTACTACAGTATAAATGTTGATGCACAAATTTTTGATCGTTAAACAGGACTAAACTACCGTCAATGTTCAAAGCAGCTACTGGTCAACACTACCGTATTTCTACTAGTACTGTACTATACTACTACTACTACCTTTTCTTATACCCATTTCACACGGCAGAAATGTAATAATTAATTGTACCAAGGATATTGTTAATAGCAAGGTTATATGGGTCGTGAGAATGCATATTCATGTAAGATACATATAATATCTACATCTCAGTAAAAACAATAGGCTCCCAGCAGGACTTGACATAGCTTTTGTTGGCTACTTTTAACTCATCCATGCTTTCAGTGTTGGTAAACTGTAATTCACTTGAATAACTGTACTGGTAAGATGATAGTTGATTTCTTTTTGTGAACTTCCTAGGACAAGCCATATATAGCAGCTTTCTGTGTTGGCAATTCACTTGAATAACTCTTTCTAAGACAGGTCCTATCAAGCATGGCATCGTATTCGTAAACTTGCTTTTCTTTTTTTTTTTTTTTTAGCTTATGACCTTTCCCATCATTCCTCCACTAGATTTATTCTTTGCAAGGTCAATTTCCAGACGATAGCAAAGTGTCTGCTGACCCCCGAAGGGGCACTTTATCCTTCATGTTATCGTCGCGCGTATTAATTTTACCAAATTCAGCTTTAACTATGAATTTAGCAATGTGAAAGCACAAAATTTTGATAAAGAAATACTAAAATATGTTGCATCTTCTGTCATGTAAAATCAGGGTACAAGTGACTGCAAATTATAACTTGGACATCGCTACTCAAATACCGTTATGTCTTTATTGAAATACTTAATGCTAAAATATTAGGTTCTGAATATATATATTTCCATCATAACTAAAGTCTATACTTACATTAAAAGTCCCATTGGCAAATTTTGCTTAGGAGGATAAATGTAGGCTATGGTGTTTTACAGAGCAAGGTTAAATGCAAACTGAGCATCTCTAATATATCTTCATGACATGTGGCTCTTTTGCATTGGCTTTGTCATAGTACTATCAAACTCGCTTGTTCTACTATATTTTTAATATTATTTCATATATAGTAATACAGAACATTTACTTTTTATTTATTGGCATCCTTGATATA